CCAGTTTCGAATTACAAAACCAATTGAAGCTAGTTAAACACAAAAAAAAAAAAAAAAAAAAATGAAAATGAAAAGAAAAAAGATTTTTGTTTTTGGTTTGCATTTTTGTTGCTGTTGTATTTGCATTTTGATTTTGACAATTGGATGGGGCGAACCCTCCCTGCCGACTGCGACGCTTGTTTTGATGACCGCATGACAAGTCCGATTAGGCGGCCCGCAATCCCGACCCGGATCAACCCCGACTCCGTCCGGGGCTCTGGCCAAGTGTCAACACGGCGGACCATTTGCTGCATCATTTGCTGCAGCGAATGCGTCTCATCAAAATGTTGTCATATGTTTTTATGACCGCAGAGGGAGAGAGAGAGAGAGATAGAGAGAGCGAGACAGAGAGGGAGGGAGGTGCTCTCTCTCTCTTTTTGTGCATTTGCAAAATTTGTTAGTCAGCGTGCAATTAGCTTGCAAATGGATTTTCCACCTTTGCCACTTGTCCGTCGCTAGGTGTGCAGCGGACGGCGGCGGAGGTGGACTTGACGCCACGCCCACATCCGCATCCGCATTCGCATCCGTGACACAGCATATCGAGCAGCGGCGTCGGCGCTGTGGCACGTGTAAAACCGTTCGACACGTGGCCGCACGTGCCAACAGGCGCTGGTGTCGCCCTCCGTCCTCTGCCCTCTGCTCCCGCTCCCATCGCCCATCGCCCATTGCCCATCGCCTGGCTGCTACGATCCGTCCATCCGGTTGCTGGGCTGCTGCGATAAGCGCAACTTTGACAATTGCTGCGAGATGTCAAAGGCCAGGTTACGGCAACAGGAATTGGGTTGCTCGCGCGACACTCTGACGTTCCGTTATCCGTTATCCGTTATCTTGATGTGCCGCCGGCTAAAGGGACAGCCGGACAACGCGACAGCGCGACAGCGAGGCGGGCACGGCGACGTCAGCTACAGACGCACAGCTCTGCCTCAGCCTCAGCCTCTGCCTCAGCTTCAGCTTCAGTCTCCGCCTCTGGCTTTGGCTCTGGCTCTGCCCCTGAATCGATGGTTTTGTTAGCGTAAATATCTTAATTCGCCGCTTCACCGCCCACGACACGCGTTAATCGTGTGCTTTTGACATGAGAATTTTTAAATGAAATGCGACAGTTCCGTCAGCCACCCGCCGACCACCCACCCACCCGCCCACCCGCCCATCCGCCCATCCGCCCATCCGGACAACTCTCACAGGGTCCAGGACAGCTTCTCACACAAAGATGATTGCAATATATATATACATATATAAAGAGGAGCAGGAGAGAGAGGGGGGAGGGGGGCTAAGGTGAATTCGTGGATTTAAGGTAAGAGCAAAACTTTGCGTATACTAATAAATTAATAGTAATAAATATAATAAGAGATATACTAAAGATGACAATTATGATAATCATAACATTTATTATTATTATAATAAATATAATTCAGTTATTCATCATGTTTTACAATAGAAGCTCTAATTTGATTGTCCTTTTTTCTATCATGGGCTAAATTTCCTTATGCTTCTACTGTTTCCCAAATAGTAGGAAATCTATGAATCCGAACGAGACTTAAGGCGAGTCTTCAGCTCAGTATTCAGTTTGTAAAGACAGCGAAGCAGGCAGCAACCAGCACAAGTGCCACACGCAATCTACATATTACAAAGGCATGAGCTCCAGTATATGTATAATTCTTAAATAAAGTAGGATCCCCATATTTCGAAATGCCAAGGGGATCCGTTATTTTTTGGTTTCTACAGAAACAGAAATGGAATTTTTTTCGATTTATGGCGATTTTTGATTTAGCGGGGTACAGACTGTCGAGACTCGACTGTACTATAAAATGCAATTCACACAATTTTAGTCATAGTTATATAGTTGTGATAATGCTATATTTCCGCTAGCTGTAGCCATTTTCCTGCATATATTTCTGCCCACATTCAATTCAATATTCCTCTCCAAATTTCTCTTTCTTCTGTCTATATTACATTTTATATTCCTCTTTACGATTCTCTTATAATAGAGAACAGAATAGAGAACAGAAAAGATTGCCAAGTTCCGCCAAGCTCCTTTGCCAGCCTGGAATTTGGAGCCCCTTGCTTAGTCTTTAAATTTGTTTATGTTTATGTTTAGTGTGTATTATATAAGTTAAGCGCTCCCACACTAGAGTACTACTGATTGGGGACGCTGTGTTGGTTTCTTGTGAATATATAACAACTTTGTGTTCAATGAAATAATATATTTTATATAATTTGGAACAATAGGTCTAAACTCTCTCTAGTCCGAATATAAACTGAACTAAATCTGTTCTACTCGTTAGGTTCTCCCCTTGAATGTCTGACTGGACTCTCCAGCCTCCTTAGATTGTCGATAGTCTTAACTTATATATTGTGCATTCTTCTATTCCCTTCTATTCTACATATGTATATAGATCTTTCAATCTCAAGATTATCTCAACACGACTTTCCTTTTATTCTTCTAAAGCGTCGAAACACTCTTCACACTATGAACTGTCTAGCTTATTGGAAGAGATTTCTATCGCAGACTCCAGACTGTTTGTATTGCTTGAATATCTTCGACAATCAAAACATTTTATCACATTTGCAAATTGGAAATGGTCCAAGGAAC